AGCATCATGTTTTGATTGGCTCTCTGATTAGATGCCCCACCTTCTAGTAAACATACTCACCTCTACTTGGCTCTCACCCTAATTTGTTCCTTTAGTTTACATGACAAAATCAGTGCTGATTAAGTTATTTTGACTCATCAATTAGGTCATCTTCCGTAAACTCCACTACCATCCCATTTAGCTTTCGTCTAGAATGAAAAAATTCACGAACTTCACAGATATAAGCTGTACTTCTCCTTCCCTACTCCTCTTCACTCCCACGTGGAGTTACACAGCTCTTCTCTTGGCACTGTATTACTTTGCCACATCTCTACATCACTGGAGCCAAAGTGCAGCTCCTTCTGACCTCCTCCTCCTCTGTACTATTCACAGTGCTCTCTCATGACATGAAGCCAAACTTCTGCCCACTGATTGAAACCTCCACAAACTCTTTGCATGTCTTTATGGTAACTTCTTTATACAAGCCATAACAAGTCAAATGGTCCGCCTTCTTTATACAAGCCATAACAAGTCAATGTGTGTGAGGAAGAGCTGATACAACGTTGAACTTATTCTGTCAGCCAAGCTGATAGGTATGATAAGATTTCTTATATGATAAAGAGAAAATCTTGTCGCTTCTTATTTCCAAAGAATAGCTGAGTTGATGTTATGCAGGTGAAGGTAATATTTTTTTCTATCCGCCGCCCTCACTCCTGCACTACTGTATGTTAATCTGCACTTTTGACACCTTTGTCATCTCCCTAATTACTGCCATGCTCCACTTGTTCACACAGGGCTGAGTGACTCTCCCAGCCTCACACATTATCTCGACTGAACATTGCTGCTGCTTTCATACCTTCACTGGTTACATTTGTATTCACCTTTTTTAATTTTAAGTGTATGTTTCAGCATGATAAGTACAAATGTACTTTACATCAGTGGTTCTCAAACTGTGGTATGTGGGGAAAATTAATATTTTCACATTTACATTGTCAATTGAATAAATCTGAAACATACCATGCACAGTTAATACAACAATTAAACATAAACATCTTTATAAACATTTCTAAACATAACTTCTGTGTGGTGGAAGCTAACAGTGAAGACCTACACTGCTATATTCTAATGTAGCTCAATGTTTTCTCAGGTGGTACAGAGTAGAAAATTAGTGCCGCGTTGGTTCACAGTACAATTTATTTTGTCGCTTTGGATCAATTCCATTCCGAACTGCAGCGTTAAGAGATGTTGGTTTTAACAGATTCAAGAGTTTATTTAATTTGTCACATGATCAGTCGTACACATATACTGTCACTACAGTGAATTGTAACCCTGAGTCGCTCCATAGTACATATTCAATGTATCCCACATTGAGCACAAAAGAAGTGTAAGAGGAGTCGATGTAATAAAAATTCAAAACATAAAAAGGGAAAAGACCATGGCACGTTATAAACTGAATGTAACGAAAAATAATTTTGAATGTACAAAAGAAGCTACTTCAGTACCAGAAATAACAAATAATAGTAACAATCAGTCTGCAGATTAAACCTGTGAAAATGTATTTTATACTCTCAGATTATTCTGGTGACAATGGTGATAACTTTATAACACCCACTTAATGCCGACCTTTTTGGTTTTAATCAAATGTGTTTGTTACATGAAAGTACCCACTAAAACAACACAGCGGTGTGACTGTATGAAGTAATGGAAAAATGTGTTTGGTATTATGACAGTGAAACAAGTGAGCGTAAATAAGCACGAGTAAGAAAAACAATGTTGAGGTGCGTAAACATCTTGTAGACAAAAGTCTTTACCTTGTTCTTTTTCTCTTCTTTTCAGGAAGAAGAGCTGAGAAACAGCGGAGAAGCCAAGTACGCTCATCTGAGTAACGATCTCCACGTTTTAATTGAAGTCTTTGCTCCACCTGGAGAGGCCTATTCCCGCATGAGTCACGCCTTGGAGGAGATTAAAAAATTCCTTGTTCCTGTGAGTTAATTTCTTCACCTTGTCTTTTCCCCCACTAACTTTAAATGTTGCATTGAACAGTGGTTACTTCCTGGGACTTGATCATTTTAGCTCGTACTGCAGGACTCTGCAGAGTCTTTGGAGTTTTTTACTTAATTAAAATGCAAGTGTGAACATTTTTGCTCTGCGCTACACCTGCTGCTGTACATCGCAAGCCTTTACTTGCAAATGAAAAAAATAATGTATTCAGCAATTAAAGTGCAGTATGGAACAACTTTTAAGACTCGAGCGAAGCCTTAAGAACATCGCAATAATGAATGGGAGTGTTGGGTTTTTCTTGCTGAGTCAAAGCTCTAAATATTAATCAGGTTTGGTGAGTGTGGATGTTGTGGACCTTTTTGTACGGAGCCCGTGGTTGTACAGGTGTGTGTGTGTGTGTGTGTGTGTGTGTGTGTGTGTGCGTGTTCCCACTGGAACAAAATGTGATAATCTCTTAAAAGGAACATATTATGCTCCTTCTCAGTGCTAATTAACATGGTTCCTTGATGTCTTAATGAAATGTAAGAAACATGCTTTGGTGGATAAAAACTAAAGGGCTGAGCACAGCTGAGTTCTCTACACATCTCTTCTAAGTCATAATAATCACCTGATTTGTGAAATCTGAACGGCTCAGTCTGAGACCCACCTCCAGATTTGGTTGTAACTAAAGATTAGGCAGACACTCTGGAAACATGTAGCAAAACCCTGGTGCAGTTCCCCGCAGTTCTAAGGAGCTGCTAAACTGCTTTTCATTGTTTGGTCACATCATCAGTAGATCTCTCGAATCTCTTGGACCTTGAACGTGCCTTCAAATTACAGTGACATCACTGTATTTTCCATAAACAACAGTCACATCAATGTCTGGGACTGTAAAAAGACCTGCTACCTTCAGTAACAAGGCTGATAAATGGGTTTCAAGCTGTTTTCCCAGTTTGGTAAAATGTTTTGCAAAACAGACGATACTTCTTCACGCAGTGCAGCGTCACTCATGTGTTTCTCTTCACACCCTGCAATTCTCAACATTAATAGGTGTCATGTTGATTCCTTAGTGCTCACCGTTAACCATTGTTTTTCTGTTGTTGTTTTTTTCTCAGGTTCATTTTCACTCTTAATTGCACAGTCAGCTCTGCTTCACTGCGGCATCTTGAGAAAAGTTGAGCTATTGAATTTAAAATTCATCTTTTTGAAATAGATGCAGAAATCCAATAAGCACAGACAAATTAGACATATGTTTGAATCTGCAGTGAAAATCTGCCATCAGCGCTAATGATGCATGGACAGAAAGAACTTGCATCAGTGATAAGTCAAGCAGAATGACAAAAGCACTGATGATCATTATTTTGTTGACAGTTCTCCACCCATATGTTTGCAGATCAGAAGATCAGTGAGCAGAAAGGTTGAAGTTGGAGATAATTTATAATCACAACATAAACAGAACCGAAGGCATCGATGTTAAATATTTCATTTTGTACATAGACATTGTTTAAGCCTTTCTTCTATTCTACACCGTCTTCTCAGGGTAATAATAGTTTATGTGCCTCAGTGTCAGAAGGTAAAAACACATCTTTGGCACCGATTTTTCCTCTTAACCATTCCAAACAGTATTAACTCAGTACATCATGATGTTTCAAAGCGTATGTTTAATGTTTCTGGGATCTGATAGGCTCAAAGTAAACAGCGCATATTGTTACGCAGCAGGTGTCTGTCTAAAATTTTTAGTGGCAGATGTTTCTGCCTGTGGTGGGTAACACGAGCGCTTCCTGCCGTCAATGTTTTTGATTAGTGCACCGTGCTTTTAGAGGGATTTTTTTAGACACTGATTCTGTGTAAATTGCTTAAAAGTGTTCTCTAGATTTCTAAGGTGTGATTTAAGCTGATTTAAGGCAAGTAAATGTGTCTGAACCTGGAAGGTCACTTCACAGCTGCCTGAAGAACACAAGGAAAAATAATTCTTAACCCAAAGTTATGACACTTTTTAGTACAACTAATAATTGCCTTGTGTAATTTAAAAAAAACTGGGCTCATTTATTTCGAAATCTCTGCAACATAGTGTTAGAAGAAAGAGTGATGGTCTACTGTAGACTGTTTCATTCAGAAATAGTCAGGAAAAAAAATAAAATAAAAAAGGAATAGCTTTTTGACTTGAAAAAATTGTTCAAAGGAAAAGTGTGTGTTCTAAATGTAGGTTTATAACTTTAAAGCTTTTTGTATCTGGGCAGTTATTTTATACGCTATATTTTCCCTTCAATTTGCTTGTCATTTGTCTGCCGCTCAACTGCCTGCTTTTTTTTTTTTTTTTTAGACTTTCTTTTTAGGGTAGTAATTATATAACAACTGCAACAATAACAATAATTAAAATTTAAGAAAAGGAAAACACAGTCTCATAGATTTAACCCAAGTGCATGAACATTCTGTTTATAAGGAAAACCTAATAACAATATAGTCATATTTTGTTTCTTTCTTGATTGTTCTAGGAAAAAGTAATCATAATATAATGCAGCAGGCTTTTGTCAGTATCCTTGGTGATAGATGTTTCCTGCCTGTGAATGGAATGAAGCCATAATTGGTTAACAAAGCTAAACAATTTGGGTTTTTTTGGTTTGTTTGATTGTTTGGGGGGGGGGGGTGGTTTTTTGAGCACTCAAAATTTTAGATTTGGTTTTGTAAACTGTTATTAAGTTAGGTTATCTACGCTTTTAGTAGGGGGCTAGAGTGGTGCCAGTTCAGACTTTTGCCAGACGACAGAAGGTTCCATATTTGGTACCTTGTAATACCTGAAAACCCAGGTGGGTGAGCCATGAAGGGCGTCCAGTGTAAAACAAAATGAACTGCTAGGGCAACAAGTGACGAAGGACAAGCTAACAGCTTCAACATGTTTTCAATCATTCCGAGAGTCGATGTCTTTAAATCCAAGCACATAAAAACATTTATTTGTAAGTATCAACTTATCCTGTTGGCTAAGCACATGTTTTGTTTGAAGTCAGCTCAACCTGTTTCATACTTTACGTTGAGTTTTCTGAATATTACAGAGGTATTGCAGCACATGTGGAGCCATTAAATAAAAGCTGCAGCAATGTTATTTTTTCTACCGGGCCACGTGAGCGACTCTCCCTGCATCTGAATTTGATCTAAAACTCAAATGTATTTCAATATCCCTTACAAAAGTAGAAGTTATTTGATGTGACATCACCCTGTGATGCCTGAAAGTAATTGCTTTACCTTTACTATTCACCAAAACCTTGCTTTCCACTGAGCGCCCACAGCTCACATCTGCACACCAGGAGAGAGTTCAGTCAATGTGAAAATGCTCCTTCCGCGATACAGACTTGTCTCCTCTTATAAATCTTGAAAAACTATCATAGGAACAAGCTGTGTGACCAGTTCCAATTACAATTAAGGGTGCGTAATTAGTTTACTCATTCATAAACAGAGCACAGAGGCCACCACTACAAGCTATATCAGTCAATGAGACGAACGAGCAGAAAAAGCCTCTGCCCAACGGAGCCTGTAGATTTGTTGCAGAGCAAAATCTGAATATGGAATTCCACTAGTCCTGTTGGCTCAAAGACACAGTATGCACTGGAGAAGAAATGCAAACACAGAGCTAATCAGTGGACGACTGTATAAACAGACTCAGGAATGAAAAATACTTTGCGAAGCAAAAGGCAGCCCAGCTCTCAGCTGGATGGGTTTGTGGCCTTCATCTTGAGCCAAGAAGCAACAGGAAGCATTCTGGCAGTCACCAGGGTGACACAGATGCTCGAACAAGATATGTGGCAGCTATTTGTTTTGGCCATTAAGTCAAACAAATTATGATTGTTATTAAAAGTGACACTTTTGCTTGTTTTTCACCTTAGTGTGATTCATTCTGCATTCATGCTTTTCATGAAAAAGGTTGATATTTTTTTAAAGGCTTTACAGAGGCACACGCTTCATGTCCTTCATTCTCCTGCCCGTCTGTCATTACCGCCTGCAGCAGAGATCCAGACTGTGCAGTGTTTGCAAGAATAGAGTCTTGGATATTAAGGAAAGTGCAATTTAGGCTCTGTTATTTCTGAAAGTAGTCAATCAAATGTCTTCAAGAAGACACTTTACCAATTCATGTGGCTTACACCCAAAGACAAACGTGTTGAAATATCATTAATGCTGTGGGAATCCATCAGTATTGGGCATCTGCATTAATGATAGGCATATTGTTGATATGTTTAAATTACGTTTTCCCATTAACTGTTATTGTTTGTGCAGATGTCATTCTTTACACAACATTAAAGAGCATTTATATAGACAACAAGCTGTAGTGGGCAAACATTAGGCCTGCGGGCCACAGTGGGATTTCAATTTTCAGTCAGACAATCAGACAGATGGAAAATAATTGTGTGACAGAAATATACGAGAGCAAACTTTAACAACCTTAACAGTGGGAATATTGTTATTGGTCCCTGTGTTTTGCCAGCGCAATAGGTGACAAGTGTTTGTTTTGCTTTTTTTGCTTACACGGGTACATAGATCATTTGATTTTATTCTTCAACATACTTCTAACAGAAAATGTTCTAGGTCTGCAAGTGCACCTTCTAAATAAATGAATCTCCCTGTAGCAGAGACATGTATCAGAGGTGCTGGTATCACCACTCTTCATCATGAGCCGACCTCTGAAAAAGTCCACTTCTGAAGGACATTCTGTGCGTGTGTACAAGGTCACGCATGGTCAGAATTAATCTCACTGAGCAAACCGTCTGACCTGAGAATCCCCAGCATGGGGTTTATCTGTGTGTGCTCAACATTAACACCTCTGTCAACAGTCAACTTTTACAAGCATTGGCAGATTTGTTGTGCTGTAGATGAGCTGCCAGCTTTTCAAATTATGAGCTCCGCCAGCCTCCGTCAAACCAACACAGCTCTGTGTGCCTTGGTCGCTCATTAATAAGAGGAGAAACATGTTTTCTTTCACCTTGTTAATGTGTAAAAATGTAAAAATGTGTAATGTAATCAAGTCTGGTTCTGTTACGTTCTAGTCTATTGTAAGTTTATTTTTACTCTCTGAAAAACACATCACTTTGCCTCATTAGAATTTAAAAGATAAAGTTGGACAAGGATTTTCAAAA